ATTAGAGACTGATTATTATCAGTCTAATCGTCGCTGGAGTGAAGCGACCACTTCGAGCGTTGTTGGATTCTGGCGCTTCCAACAACTTCTTTCGTGCATCCTGTTTGTCCCTTCTCCCGTCGACTGTCACTGTTCGAGAAGGTCCAGGTGAAATCGTTGTCAAATTTGCCGATGGACAACCAAAACGTGTCCCGCGTAAAACAGTGGTTTTACCGTACACTTTCGACGGTTTCCAGAGAAACGACAACTTTTTGGTGTACGAGATGAACTATGCATTTGATTGCATACTTGGGATACCGTGGCTGTCACGGTATCAGCCGAAGATAGATTGGCTATCTCGGTCCGTCAAACGACGAAGCAGTTATGACGTCAGTGAAGTGTTTACTCATTTGTTGGTCGCTTCATCCAGATTGGCCTCACGTCAGGGTCGTGAACGAACTCGCCACGACTAGTAGTCAACACAGAGAGAGCGATGGCCCTCTGTGCGTAGTATGTTCCGTTACACTGACGGAGCCACACAACGAGGCGGTCGAACAGCGGTTCCCGCATACACAGACATCGGTCGAACAGGGGTTCCCGATGCAAAACGAGGCGGTCGAACAGCGGTTCCCGCATACACAGACATCGGTCGCAACAGGAGTTCCCGATTCACAACGAGGCGGTCGAACAGCGGTTCCCGCACGCACAGACATCGGTCGAACAGGGGTTCCCGATTCTCAACGAGGCGGTCGAGCAGGGGCTCCTGCATACAAGCACATCGGACGAGCAGAGGCTCCCGATCAATTTCTAGGCGGCTGAGCAGGGGCTTCCGCGTACAAGTACATCGGACGAGCAGAGGCTCCGATAAATATCAGGCGGTCGAGCAGGGGCTCCCGCGTACAAGTACATCGGACGAGCAGAGGCTCCCGATAAATATCGAGGCGGTCGAGCAGGGGCTTCCGCAACCAAGATGAAGCGGTGAAGACAAGCTCCCGCTTTTGATTGACGAGAATGGGCGGACTATGGATCCGCATGAGACCGACGTGGTGGAGACAGAGCTCCCACGTCTAGAGGGGGTACATCATCCTCCTCTGATAGCGACGTGCCAGTCTCGAGCAGGGGCTCGAGACGCAAGAGAAAACGAAAGAAAGGAGCACGCCGATCACCGAGACGACGACATTCGCGTCATAGATGCTAATGCATTTGATTCCGTAGTGACGGAATCCGTATGCGCGCTTAAATATGTGGAGGGATCTCCACATCGTGGCAACTACATTGAGGTAGCGAGTCACACCGTGCACTGCTTCAGATATCACATCTCTGCCAGACCTTACATGGAAAGACTTCCTTCATGACCTCAAGGTCGGCGACATCGAGCAAGTGTGCATCGTTTCAGCCACCGAAGAAGCCAGTGAAGAAGTTCTGGAGGCTCGACCGAAGAGCGCCGAGCCTAAATCAGCGCGCGAAGAACGCTTCGCGGCACAGTCTTGGGATGCTCTTCGTGCTTCGGGCAACCCTGTATACGATATCGCCCGTGAGTACGCCGATATTTTCCCGGAGAGAAATTCCAGCTGAGCTTCCGGCAGATCGTGGTGTGCAGCACGAGATAGATCTCGTGCCAGGATCGAAATATTGCGTGACACGGCAGTGGCCGTTACCGCGCGACCAAGTCATCGCTATTGATGAATTCTTCGAGGGTCGCCGCAAGGCTGGCCATGTCCGCGAGAGTATCTCCACATTCGAGTCCGACTTTCTGTGTGAAGAAAGCCACCGGCGGTTGGCGCATTGTGCACGCCTTCAACAAGCTGGATGACGCCACGATCCCGGCTCAAATGCCTATCCCTCGAAAAGACATGGTATTAAATACCATGTCCGGGAGCGAGATCTACAGCGCCATAGATCTGACAGACGGTTTCTATCAGATCCTCATGAGGGACAGTGACATTCCGTTCACTGCGGTCATCACCCCAAGCGGTATGCTTTGGGAGTGGCTAGTCATGCCACAAGGCCTTAAGAACGCTCCAGCTACGTTCAATCGGATGGTGACACAAGTACTTCGCCCACTTCGCGACTTTGCACCGAGCTACTTTGACGACATTTTCGTTCACAGCCGCGCTGAGCAAAAGCTCAGCGCTACGGAGGTACACCTTCGACACTTGAAGCAGGTGTTTCAAGTTATGCGAGAGAATAAATTGTATGCGAATTCGAAGAAATGTGTCTTCTGCGCCCCCGAGATTCCAGTACTCGGTTGCTACGTCAGCAAGGAAGGTGTCCGCGCTGACCCTGAGAAGATCTCGTCGATCTGTTCCTGGCCAACGCCCAGGAACCAAGCTGAATTACGTCAATGGCTCGGTCTGGAGAATTACTTGTATAAGTGTACGAAGAATGATGCTGAGCTAATTCAGCCATTATCAACTTTGCTCAAGAAAGACGCAGTATGGTTATGGAAGGCAGAACATCGATCTGCCTTCGACTCCGTGAAAAATAGCTTGTCCGAGACACCGTTGCTGATGCTACCTGATGACTCCAATCCATTCCACGTCGTATGTGACGCGAGCAATTTCACTATAGGGTGTGCCCTCATGCAATTTGATGACGAGGGTCGAGAGCGCGTCGTGAGTTTTCAATCACGACAGATGGAATCTTCCGAGAAAAATTATCCGGTACATGACAAGGAACTTTTGGCTATGCGTTACGCGCTAATCAAGTTCAGAGTATATTTGCTCGGCGTAAAGATGTTTTCTATCTACACGGATCACGCATCATCGCGTACCGCCGTCAAGAGTCCTCACTTGTCCCAGCGTATGGCACGGTGGTTGTCATTTTTCGCCAAGTATAATTTTGTGGTGCATTACAAGCCTGGCAAGAATAACATTCTCGCTGACGCGCTTTCTAGCCGTCCTGATTACGATCCTCGACGCAACATAGGTCTTAAAATAGAGAATGTTGATGACGACGATGATATATGTGCGTGTTCTAAAAAGCTGCGGCTCACTGCGATAATTTCTTTACCTATGCTGTCAATCCGAACTAAGATCGCTGAATGCTATGCAAATTATTCCTTTTCTGCAAGCAAATCAGAAGCGCTTCCCCAACGCCCTTTAGTGTAAGACGGTAACGGTTCCTTATTCGTTACAGATGACGCCATCGAAGTGAGGACGGGCACCAAACCGGCTGTCTCAAAATGGACAGCCTGAGATGCCGCTACGGGAAAGAATCAAACGAACAAAGTCGCGTTCTAGAGAAGTTCGCTTCATGGGACCGGAAGTTGCGCTTGGCGAACGGGCCGGCGAAGAGGAGGCGGAAAAGAGAAGAACAGGAGCTTGTTAATGTATGTTTTCTGATTTTCGAAGTGCCCCACACCTCGGGAGAACGTTAAAAGGAGCCTAGTCATTGGTGCTGAGGTAGACTCCGTCTCTGTCCACTGTGCGCGCTTGACAGTCGTTTGGGAAATGGACTTACATTAAACAAACTAAAATAAAAAATATATAACTGTAGAGTTGCAGCTTCATTAAGCCTCGATTCTTAAATTTTGCGGTCACGACCATTTAATCCAAGCCTCACTCACCTCTTCGGCGGGAATCCTTCCTCGCGGGAGAGAATTGAGTAGGATCATGCCTTTAGCATGCCTCTGGCAAGTAAATTCGACGGACCGCGCAAGCGATCATCAAAGTGTAGACGGACACTTCTACGAAGTTGCCTCGTGCTACTTAGCACACACCTTCAGCTCAAGCGAGGAAGAGATTAGACCGTCTTACCTTTGCGTGCGAGGGCGGCTGTGTGATCGGTAGACTGCTTAAGCAGTCGTACCACCAGTTTCCTCTCGCTTTAGCGAGAGTGCAACGAACTTCTAAAACAAGAAGGCACCGACGTCTCGTAGAAGCTTTTTCAGCTTCTCGTGCGTGGTGCTTCGGTGTTAGCAAATTCAAGACTGAGTCATATTTAATGAATTATAATTAAATATAAACCTAACTACTGATTGGCTATATATATAAAGATCGGATACGCGAAGCGTATCCTGACGTGTGAGCTTAAATGTAGATTTAAGCTCACTAATGGCGTCCTTCTGGGACGTCGCGATGCCTAACTTCAACTTGCGTCATCCCTTCTCATGTGAATTCATCAATGGATATCACGTTCACGAGGTGGATCACATTTGTGTATCGCACCCAAGTGACAGGTCAAAAGTAATCATGGATACTTTGATACCTTACATTAATTATTAATTAATGTTTACGTGTAACTAGATGCCCTGTTACAGAAAAGGCCACCCCCACGCCGCGTCCGACGATCGCGCGCTTCAGAAAAACGAGCAGCTCGAGTAGCCTATCAGGAAATAAATAAAGGTGTCAATCCCGTGAGCGTTACCGCGGATAAACAGCTCCGTACAATCACCGGAGTCATTTGGGCACCACGTTGCTGTCTAGGCTTAGAAAAACCAGACACACGGCAACCACTAACGATTTAACGACCGAGTGGTCGCAAATAAAGGAGCTGTAGCAGATAGAGATGTGGGAAACAGCATCAACCTACACGAGCGTCTTTTCTCGTCGTCAGTATTACCCACTCGCTCTGAGCTCTCTTGAGCTTTTATAGGGATCATCGCTGTATTGTATCCATTTGATGATGGGGTCAATTGTGTATCAACTTCGAAGCGGTTTAAAGACCTATGGTACCCGTGGCCAGAATTTAACGTAGGACAATATTGTGTTTGCTCTCAATTGCATTGCGGGTTTTGTTCATCAGCATGTATTAATTGGCACTGTCGTCACCGCAAAAAAGGTCTCAGCATAAACAAGCTATCGTTCTGCAAAAGAAAAACCAATGAGATTGGTGGAAGAATTCTCCACAGAGTTTGACCATTTTTAGCCGCAACTCTTAGAACTAAAATATATACATCTTTGAATTCATATCCTTTCGATGCATCCTGTCCCAGTCTAACAAGTCGACCAAGTCCATTTCCATCCATCTCAATCTCATAGGCAGCACATTGCAAATTTTTTTTCTCCCGAAAGACCATAATGAAGCGACGTAGATCGCCTAGAATTGCCAACAGCAAGCAAAAGAAGCAAACAAGTTGCGCGGAAGCTTTGATGGATTCTCCTGCTGATCGTCTTAGCTTTGTTTTAGAGCTTATAGCGGGGCAAGTGTGTACATTTTTGCTCACCGAGGAGATCCTATACTTGTTTCAAGTGTGTTCTAGTGGCTTGTCAGAAGATTTCATTGACAAAATGGCACTAAAAGCACTTGACCAATTTGTAAACGAAAACAAGACCCACGTGGGACGCCAGTGTGACTGTGACTGGATGCGAAGTATCCACTTTGAAAGATCTTGTTTGGAGAAATGTCCTCGCACCGGACCGTTCACTGTAAACAGGTCCATGCCAAGTCTTCAAGCCCCAAATGGTGCCTCAACATTGTGGAGTGCATTAGCACTGGCAAAGAGAGCTATGCTACCCCTTTTTTCTGTGAAAAACTGGCATACCACAGGGGCGCTTCTTCCCGTTGTGTGCTTGCTCTCAGAGGATAACGAGAAACTCTGCAGCGAATTAGCTGTCAAGAAAGCGATGAACCGTGTTTGTAAAAAAGCTGGTGACCGATTCGTCTACAAGTATTCTACGCAACAACCAAAAGATGATAAAAAAAGGCCAGATTTCATTTACGATCACTGGGACAGTATCGAGGGCCCAAAATGCGCGTACTGTGACGCTTTTATAGATCGACAACGTGTAGATCCACGCCAATTCACGCAGCCTAATTTACGTATCCCACTAATGCGTGCTAACTGCAGGCGTTTGTATCAGCCGCTGAAAGCTGCGATGGAGAAAGAACTTCAGTTCGTGCGGTATATACCTCAACCAAAATTCTCCACCACATACAAGGGATTGATAGCAGGGATTTCGCCCAGCGGCGTTTTCTGCGGGTTCTACATCGCAAGCGAATTTTGGCCTTACGATCGATTCCTAAGAGAAATAACATGAGAAAATCTGATCTTCCAAATTATTGAATGATAGTACTTTGTTTGTGCGGACACGAAACAGCGGTGATTTCAATGCATTCCATAGAGCTCCGATCATTCTACCCTCCAATACCACCCCAATCTTCTTCACCGATGTCTTCTTCGCTGAGCTTTCCGTACAAGCCTCTTTCTCCCCATGCGACTTCAACTGAATCTGACCCTTCAAGGGTTTTTTGTGCTTGGCCCAATGGAGTTTGCTGCCACAGCGTCTCAAACTCATCTGGATTGACAATAGAGAAAACAGACTCGTGCTGTCTTTGTCTGCCTTGTTTCGACGCGGGAGCGATCACTTTAACGCACGGGCAGTATACCGCCGCATCATGTATCGAATGGGGCTCTTCAAGCGACATTCTGTATACAGTATATATTCTGCGATTTGTGGTGCGGTTCTTTGAAATTTCACGAATAACGGCTGGAAATTTTACATTTGCCGGTAAGACAAAGAGACCGTTTTCTAGTGCCATTGCTGCTCACCATGACCAACGAGTGTATTTCGTCGTCGATGGCCGTATTGCCACCATGCTACTCATCGCGACTCTTTCGATCTTCGTTTGCAACATGCTTCTCAGTGGTTGGGGCTCTGCGCAGTGAGCTCTGGGGCTGCGCATGCGTGGCGCTTGTGGTGCTGCTTACGTCGCTCAACTACTGGCGTGACCCCGTGAAAGGATGGCGTCGCACGGCCGACATGACGGCGGTCTTTGGAGCTGCCATCTACCATGCCTACTATTGCGTGGCAGTGTGCCAGGATCCGATCGTGCAGGTTTTGTACGCGCTGGTGGTAGCCAACTCGGGCTATTGTTACATGCAGGCTTGCAAGGCACCGAATCAGGACGTGTCGTCAGCATGGCATTGTGGCCTTCACTTGCTGGGGAACGCGGCCAATGTACTGCTGTATCTTGGCATATCCATCTAGAGAAGAAGAATGAAAAGAAGACAGGAATTGTGAAAATATAAATGAATGCTGTCAATAGTAGTGTATGTTCATCATGATGCACGAGTAGCACCAAAGGGTGAGTTCTCGATGGCTGCAAGTGCTTTCTGTACTAATGTGTTGACACGGTCGCGAGAGAGTGCCAGCGATGAAGACGAAATGTCAAGTCGATAAGTGACCGACTTCCGGCCGCTTTTTTTGCAGCAATACTTGTCTAGCAATGAGATTGAGACCGTCATTGTCTTGATCGGAAAGTGCTTTCTCAGAATGTCAAGCAAACGGTCCTCTGTTAACAATTGCTCGTTGGTGACCCAAAAGCTGACGTCGCGTGTCCATTGAATAGGGAATCGAGACTTGCGACCTGTAGCTTCATGGCAGAACACGTGTGTGATGCCATCCTCCGTCCAGAAGGCCTTCTCTCGCGATTGATATCCGACGCTGTAGTACCCCAAGTCGGCCAATGCGTCAACTGGGCAATAGTGGGCATCCTGCAGCACCAACTTTGCTGCCGCAGCGCAGTGAACAATCTGCCATGTATCTCCCACTGATCGTGTCTTCCTCTCCAGCATCGTCCCTCCTTGTCCAGCACAAAGCGTGACCCAGATCTGTCCGTCACTTGCTAGTACTTGACTTGCACTAGTAAAGAAATCGAGCAGTAGTTGTCGATGACGATGAATTTTGTTGCGTTTATTCTTGTTGCCCACACCTCCGTCTGCCGCGTAATGTGGGTAGTTAAACACGATCCGGTCAAACTTGACAGCCTGGAACAAGTAGCTCTCCAGCTTCGTCGCGTTCACTCCGTGTCGGACGTGAGCTTCGCCACTGTGTAGCTCATCCAGAATTTCACGTGACTTGGGATACATTTCTAGTAATTGGCTTTCACTGTCTAGCGAGGTGGCTGTCAGATTGATCGCTGAAGCGCCGATACGAGTGCTATTGGCACGCAGGAATGCTCGAGAGTAGGAAAAGTTGCCATCCCCAACCACCAGCACGTGGGCGGCTGGTTGAAGTGGTCCTAATGAAGTTAAATCACCGATAACTGCACTACAATCGGAAGAGTTGTAAGCTGATGGGGATATTGACGTCATGAGCAGCCTGTTCGTTTCAAGAGCTCTTTTACGTAACAAGTACCGAGCGCCAATGAGCTTAAGTATGGAGCAATGAATGGAGGACAGTTTTTGCAACATCTAACAGGTAGGCTTGCAAAGGGATTGTTGGTAGTAAGAAGACATCGATTCTTACAATCAAGACGCCTCTTAGGCGTTGTAATGGTACCACAGCATTGCGATCAATAGAGCGATGAGTGTAGGGCCAACAAACGCTACTGCCACTCGTGTTGACTGTTCACTTTGAACTGGTTCTTGAATCTCCATACACGACGAGTCGTTGCTCTTGCTGCTATCCCTGTCCTTCTTTTTCTTCTCGCGACGCTGCATTAACTGCAACATATCCAAGCCACAAATCACAACGTAGTCAAAACAACACTAACCGTCAACATCAAAGCCATTGGAACCATCTTGTCCTCACCGTCAGCTCTAGGTCGTCGATTGTCATCCGTAGCTGCCAAGGCACTTGAATTTTCTGCTTCTCTAGCTCAGCAATCAGTTGCTGGCGACAAGATAGAAATGCTTTGTACTTGGTCACCACTTCTTCACCAAAGTCATCGTTGCATTTGGCCTGCTCGTGCGCCGCTTGTAGTGCATTGTCCATTGCGTACAGCTCGTTAAGCTTGTTGCGAATCGCCTTGGACTTGCTGCCCAGTGGCTCGAGCCCCTGTGTCAACAATGAGTTTCCTGACATAGTCGTGAACAACTTTACTCGACTGATGGCCAAGGAAGATATGTGTGCAGCTTCAAAGGATAACCTAAATCTACTTTCGACGATTGTTGCTCTGTCCAACGTGATGGAAAACAGCTAACAAGAAATCAATATGCTACTTTGTCGTAATTACAAGCTCAACCTAATCGCATCGCAACAGGCAAACACGGTGATACCTACCACTTTCCTTTGCTACAACACCGAGAAACCCGGATGCAACACTTACCTACAGCTCCACAACATCGTTACGACGCTGCCCGTACACGTTCTGATCTTCCGTGATGTAGTGGTTGGCAGCCGCGTGTCCGCTGGCGTCGTACGTCTGCTGACGATCGTTATTCTCGTGAGTGGCTGACCGCAGACGGATCTCGTCAGCGCTGTTGTAGTCTACGTCAGCGTTACCCTGGACGTATGGGCTGTGGTTATTGTTCAAGTTCTGGGTCTGGGAGTGGAGAACCGGTGGGCCAGAAGGTTGCTGGGCGTTACTGAGAACATGGTCCTTGTGTCCAGCGGGCGTCTCGTCTTTAAAGTAGTCCTGCGCAGTCTGCTCTTCCTGGTCGTACGCGGCATTACGCTGCAGCTTCAACTTTTGCCAAAACGAGTACAACGATCTGATCATAAGCAAAGCCAGGACGAACAGATTGAGCCCCACAATGGCCAACGAGATGCCGTTCTGCAGACTGGTTGGGAAGCCATCACTAGTAGCAGCGGTAACCAGGAAGAACGTCAGCACAAGCACGGCAATTTTCATGATAGACACGAAGCTCGTGGTGGTCTGAACGAACTTCGAGTGGTGTGGCGACTGGATTTCCAAATAGAAAAAGAACGCCACGTTCAACGCGAGAATGATAGCGATCTGCGCCTTGCCCGACATGCTCGCACAGCCAGTAACTACACCGGTTGTCAGCGCCAGCATCATCTTAGCAGCAAAGAAGTAGCGGTTTTTGAATTTGTACTCCTCGTACAGAGGGCCGTAACGCATGTTAACCGTCTTCTTCATGTGCTGCACTGTACCGACATCTGCAATGTCAGCCTCGTGCTTCTTTATAACGATGTATCCATACACGAGAATGCCAGCAGCGAGAAAAATAATTGCAGCAATAGCCAACAGGCATTTTGGATCCATGATGCTCTCGTATTTCGTCGAGTAGTAGATCTGGAACGTGGCCGTCACACCCACAGTGTACTGCGATAGAACAGCCACGAGCACCTCGAGACCGATCATTTTGTCAAAAAAGTTGGCCAGATACTGTTCACGAGGCATCATAAGGCCAGAAAGCAGGTATCCAATGCCGAATAAACCCACAACGCAGGCCATCATACAGAAAACACCAGCCAGCGTCACAATAAACAGCATGTCTTCCTGGACGTTTAGTTGGCGAGAATATTTTTCGATACCATTGAGCTGACTCGTAGAAGAACTGCCGTTCTCGCTGGTACTAGACAGCCGACGGCCAGCAGGGTCGCCAGACAAGTTGCCGCTGCCTAAGCTGTCCGATTTGGTCTCGTTAAGTTTGCCAAACGGCAAGAACAAGAACGCCATAGGGGCCATCGCCTTGCCGAGGTGTGTCACAGCCGACGACTTGCCATCAAGCTGAAGCTGGTTAATCATAACGCCAAATTGGCAAAGCTCGACTGTCGTGATGGCCATCGTAGAGCCGGCCGCTGCAAATGACGCACCCGCAGAGCTCACTCCACCGACAGCCGCACTAGCAATAGCAGCAATGCCCGTGACCACAACAGTCACACCAGCAACACTTTTAGACGTTGCCGCTACCACCGTGCCGGCAGTTGTTGTACGGTCCTTCGTTATGACACCTTCTTCCTCATCTTGCTGACGCAACTCCTTTTTCACGGCGTCAGCCTCGCTCCCCGAGCTCGAGATATCCACAAGCATAGCTGAACATGAGCACGATGAGAACGAGTCTTCTGACGAATACGTGCACTGCTCTGAATTTGATATTGTCGAATTTGACAAGACCGTCGACACCTTTGACGACCGGTTCTCCATGGCCGCAATCACATCACTCGGCAGAAACGCTTTGATGCTCAAACCTTTGTAGACAGACGACGAGATACCGTTTTCAGCGCCGTACACCCATGCATTGTCTTTGCACGTAGGGAATGAGCAGATCGAAACGCACGTAGAGCCAGAGGTGCTGCCGACACTTCCGCTGTAAATCACGCAGCTCGAGGCTGACACGGCCGAGGCCACATCGATACCTAAACCACCGCACTTTAGACCCAACGTGTCCCATTTCAAGTAAAAAGCACTGTCACACAGCAGACTGCTCGTTTTCGACGTAGGAGAGCCACTTGTATCAGACGCTAAACTAGAATTTTCAGCCGTTGTATCCGTTTGGGCCAGCCCCTCCGGCGTCGTTCCGGTCGTAGTCGTACCAGTCGTAGTCGTTCCAGTCGTCGGCGTTCCAGTCGTCGGCGTTCCAGTTGTCGGCGTTCCAGTCGTCGGCGTTCCAGTCGTCGGCGTTCCAGTTGTCGGCGTTCCAGTCGTCGACGTTTCAGTCGTTGGCGTTCCAGACGTCGGCGTTCCAGTCGTCGGCGTTCCAGTCGTCGGCGTTCCAGTCGTCGGCGTTCCAGTCGTCGGCGTTCCAGTCGTCGGCGTTCCGGTTGTACCGGTCGTACCGACCACAGGAATTGCTGTAGTCGTAGCCGCTGTGCCCGTTGCACCGATCGTTTCTGTCGTCGGTTGTATAGCTGTCGGGGTTATAGTCGTAACTTGGAGTTTGCGATCAGTTGAAGGTGGAGAAACGGTGCTAACTGCCGCAGTTTCCAAAGATTTTGATATCGTCGGAGCCGTCACTGAAGCCGTCGTTGTAAGCGCAGGAGCTGTAACAGGAGCAGTAGCAGGAGCAGAAGGTGGTGAAGTCGATTCTGTCGTCGGGGTTGTATTAAGTACACTATCCGTAATGGGAGTAGACACTTTTGTACTGGACGTTGGCGTTTGAATCGTCGCCGGGGTGTCGGGCGTGGACGCTGGGGTGTCGGATTTGGACGATGGAGTGTCAGATTTGGACGATGGAGTGTCAGATTTGGACGATGGAGTCTCGGGTGTGGCCGATGAAGTCTCGGGTGTGGCCGATGGAGTGGTGTTATCAGTTGTTTCCGGAGGTGAAGAGACATCAGCGGAATCTTTGCTATCTTTATTGGTTGTTGTTGTTGTATCCGTGGGAGCATTATCATTTGATCCAGCACTTGTGGACACATCGGAAAAAGTGCTGCCTACTTCTTCGTTCTGACTATCATTAGCATCCGGCGAATCAGCACCCGACCCAGAGGTCAACGATGACGACGGTGTATCATCAATGTCAGTGGAACTAGAAGGCGTCAAGATTATTTTTGTAATCGGGTCTGCAAGTGTCGACGTAATCTCCGACTGTACTAACACAGGACACGTCGTGACGGCCGACGTCTTATGCGCTAATGCTGCTGCTGCTGCACCAAGTAGTGCAAGAAGTCGCGCATTCATCGAGGAATCTCTTTGTTGGAATTAATTTTAATTGTACACTTCCTTATGCAAATGTGAATGCACAGAACTTTTTGCCTTATGAGCGATCGAGGTAGAGGTAGAGAGAGAGAGAATGGCGAACGACGGTTTAACGCAATAGGGTAAAAATAAGGCAGCTGCTTTACCGATAATAGTAACATACTGAAACCAAGTAGAAAACGCTTATATGTATTCCGCTGCCCTACACGCACAAACAATTGCGTGCTTCTAACGATCGCGCAACTTTATACCCATAATTTCATACCCTGGCTAATGAGATGCATTTTTAGCTTAAGTGTCTGTACTTTATTAGTAATACAAAACCTTCAAGACATAATATACGATATATTTGTAAACAGACCCAGATGTGTGCGAAGAGACACCGAGATTTCGGCCAAGAAAGGTCGGACCCGGACTGCGAGACAACGTTGTAATCAACATTGTACATGGTGTCGCTTTACCTGTCACTGCCCTGCTCCAATGATGACATTTTCCAACTAATTCGACACGTGTTTGCAGGCAGCCTTTGATATTTGAGACGAGCAACATTAGCATTGCCGAGTGTGGAATTGTGCTCGCAGCTGTAGCCTAGTGTCGCAGTTGATATGGGACAAAAAAGGTGGTGTATGCACCGAACGATAGCTACACGGCCGCGCAACCTTCTAGCAACATGATATTTGGAAACAGCTGCTGGTGTCCATTTTCTGGCGTCCAGTGGATTTGTTTTGTAGAGACACGACTAGCAATAGTGATCTTGATTTATGTTCTCATAATCTACAGTTCTAGAATCCACCCACTCTAAATGAATATATGTCGCTTTGTATGGGACGTGTTGAAGAGCCCCATTCGATCGCACTTCAACATGATGCGGCGGTATACTGCCCGTGCGTCAAAGTGATCCGCTCCCGAGGTCACTTTGAAATTTGCTACAAACAAGACAAACACCAACCGATCAAATAACACGACCAAGTAACTTAATCACAACCATGTTGAGCTCGTGGGATCTCGTACGACCGCGCTTCTGGTACCCCATGTCATCGCTGGAGCAGTCCGTGATGGAGCTCGAGCATCTGAGCGACAGCATCATGCGTCCGCGATCCTTGTTTGATATGCGCCGAGACATACTTGCGGTACCAAAGTATGTTGAAGACAAGGATGAACCGGTTGACGACGACTTCTTTGTCGACCTGCCGGTGGTGTCGCACACGTACAAGCCGACATCGTTCCACATGGCTCCCGAACAGGATGAAAAGGTCCTCATGAATAAGGAATCTGCGGAGAATGTCAGCTCGGACATTGACACAAGTACCGACATGGAGGTCGATGATAAAGGCAATGAACAGATGGACCAGGCAGTAGGCTCAGCATCCGAGCCAGTGAAGACATTGGAGAAGGTCGAAGGCAATGACAAGACCATGGAGACACATTGCAACAAGAACAAACAGATCTGTCATGAGTCTTGCAAGGTCAACTCCATTGCAGAGCACAAGGTTGCTCCCAAGAGCGACGCTGAGTGCCGCAACTTCTCGTCTTATTCATTCAGTAGTTCGTCCGTTTTGGACAACATGGGTCGGCGAGTGACGACCACGCGTCGCCGCTACGAAGACTCAAATGGCCAGCTCAAAGCTGTGCATGAACGGGAGATTGACGGCAAGAAGCTGCGTACGACATGGCGTCGTCAAAACAAGGCAGACAAAGGCCAGCACGAGTCTATTTGCTCTATTGGCAATCCAGATGAGTTTGAGACGCTGTGGCAGGAAACTCCATTTGGTCGAGCACAAAAAAACACTGTGAAGGACCAAATTCAGTCGGAGTCGGATGTAGAGAAAAAGGCTTGTACGAAAGGCCCAGCGAAGAAGACATCGGTAAAGAAGAGTGAGAACGTGACGACAGAGGATGAGTGAGTTGACAATAATCGGAGCTTAATGGAATGCATTGAGATCACACTGTATCGTTTCCGCACAAAGTGCTATCATTCAATAATTTGGGAGATCAGAATTTCTCATGTTATCTCTTAGGTTTTAATCGTTAGGTCAAGAACCGCTTGCGCTATAGAACCCACAGAAAACTCCACTAGGCAAAATACCTGCTATTAGTCCCTTGTATGTGGTAAAGATGGATTTTGGTTGCGGTATATACCGCACGAACTGAAGTTCCTTTTCCATTGCAGCTTTCAGCGGTCGATAGAGATTCTTGCAGTTAGCATGTATTCGTTGGAGTCGTATATCAGGCTGTATAAAATGGCGTGGAATTACACGTCGGCTTTTTCTTGAACAATCGTCACAGTACGCACATTTTGAGCCCTGGATACTGTTCCAGTGATCGTGTATGAAATCGGTTTTATCATGTGCTCTTCTCGCAGAATACTTGTAGACGAATCGGTCACCAGCTTTTTTACAAACACGGTTCATCGCTTTCTTGACAGCTAATTCGCTACAAAGTTTCTCTTTATCCTCTGTGAGCAAGCACACAACGGGAAGAAGTGCCCCTGTGGTATGCCAGTTATTCCCAAAAAAAGGGGTAGCATAGCTCTCTTTGCCAGTGCTAATGCACTCCACAATGCTAGGGCACCACTTGGGGCTTGAAGACTTGGCATGGATGGACCTGTTTACAGTGAACGGTCCGGTACGAGGACATTTCTCCAAACAAGATCGTTCAAAGTGGATACTTCGCATCCAGTCACAGTCACACTGGCGTCCCACGTGGGTCTTGTTTTCGTCAGCAAATTGGTCAAGTGCTTTTAGTGCCATTTTGTCAATGAAATCTTTCGACAAGCCACTAGAACACGCTTGAAGCAAGTATAAGATCTCCTCGGAGAGCAAAAACGCACACACTTTGCCCCGCTTCAAGCTCTAAAATAAAGCCAAGACGACCAGCAGGAGAATCCATCAAAGCTTCTGCGCAACTTGTTTGCTTCTTTTTCTTGCTGTTGGCAATTCTAGGCGATCCACGTCGCTTCATTATGGTCTTTCGGGAGAAAATAAATCTGCATTGTGCTATGGTCTTCCTATGAGATTGAGATGGATGGAAATGGACTTGATCGATATTGAAATCAAATATTTGACCATTTGTGATCCATCTATCTCTGTCCGATTGCAATTGTCACTACACGTTACATATCAATCATGGTACGCAAGGCAGCAGCAGCAGCAGCTTTCCCAATGGCTCTGCGCCGCAATGGATCTCGTATTCGCAAGGCCTTAGAAGTCTGTGATCTTGCCAAGCATTCGCAGCAGTTGGTGCGTAGCTCGCTGCCTCTGCGTGTGCTTGGACTCGATGTCAATACCAACAGTACAGGTTTCGCCGTCGTGACGGAGCGTGGTCGTGTGTGTCGCTGGGGCCACATCCCCACCACGAAATTCGCCAGCGCTGATGTGCTTCGCATTGGCAGCGCTGTTGACGACATTTTAGCGACGGTACAAGACGCCGAGCAGCAGCAGGAACCATCAGCTCAATGGGTCGTGGGTATTGAAGCTTTCATGCGGATGTTTCGCTCTGGTCGTTTCCACAACGCCGGTATTTTTCAACTGGCGCAGCTCAATGGAATCGTGTCCTTTGCTTGTTGGAAACGTTTTAATGTGCTGCCATTGCACACTCATCCGTCCGCTGCTCGTGGGTTCTTTGGCCTTAGTGCTCCGTCAGGAAGCAGCAAGACGAACAGCATCAAACATCAGGTTATGGAATTCTTAGAGCAGCAAGAACCCGATGTAGCAGGACAACAAGATGAAGGGCTCGAATCTCTGCCCACTTTGGAGCGAATGCGTACTGGTGCATTAGCAGGTTCGGCATTCGACATTGCCGATGCCTACGTGATTGCAGCTTATACGCGCTGTGCATACTTGCACAAACAATTGAAGGTACAGCACCCTGAACTTGTTGAGCATTTTGCGACACGATACCTAGAGTTGACGCACGAAACAGCGGCGAAAACGAAGAAGAATTCAAAAGAGATGGAAGCTTTACAGACCATGGACGAGAAGGAAGTAACTGCTTACACGAGTGATCTGTTCGCTTTCGGCTTGGAGAACTGGTTCAAAGAGCACAACACATGCTTCATGCTACAAGATGAGACAATTGATCGATGATAAAGTGCTTTAGATAACAACTGTCGTGTTATGACTTTCGTCTTAGTCTAGTCCACGAGATACTCCACACATTAAGCCCGCACAGACGACTTCCTCGTGTGAGCGTCCACCTCATTTGGAAACTGAAACGTGCTTTAGTGGAACTCGTGCACGTCAGTCCACACGTCCTCCTCCTTCTCGCGCTCGTAGTAGTCGAAGAGACTATCTGGCTCAAGGCCAAGCAGCGGCTGGTTCTTGTGGACAGCCATGGCTTCCACGAAGAGCTGTACCAGGCTGATGTTCGTCAGCAGCGGGATGGAAAAGTCCACTGCCGTACGACGAATACGGTAATTGTTCTCCATCTGCTGGCTTTCGCTGTTGGGCAGGTTCACCACCAGATCAATCTTGCCATCCTTAATCAGGTTCAGCGCGTTAATCTCGCTATCGCCGTCAGATGGGAAGTCTACCTTTGTCGACGGAATGTCGTATTTCTTTAGGTACGCGTGCGTCTTCTCCGTTGTAAACAGGCTGTAGCCTAGCTCGTGCATCTGGTAGGCAGCGTGCACGAATTCCTCGGAGAACTTGTCCTGCATAGACAGCAAGATATTCTTCTCCGGCAACTTAAAGTTCGACGAGATCAACGCCTTCAAGAATGCTTCGTGACGATTCTTGCCGAAACAAGCCACCTCGCCTGTCGAAGCCATCTCGACACCGAGCAGCGGGTCAGCACCCCCAAGGCGCGTGTACGAGAACATCGGCGACTTAATGCCGACGAAGCCCTCCGGACGCTTAGGGCCGTCAAGAGGAGGCAGGTTGTCGTTCTCCGTCGACTCACCGACCATCACCTTGGTGGCAGCGTTGATGAAGTCCGCGCCAGTCGTCTTTGACACGAATGGGAACGAACGTGAGGCACGCAGGTTGCATTCAATTACGCTCACGTCAGCACCCTTGGCCAGGAACTGAGCGTTGAACGGACCCGATATGTTCAGCGCCTTCGCAATTTTCTCGGCGTTACGCTTAATCTGGTTCATGTAGAAAGAACTCGCCTCTACAGGTGGCAGCACCAGCGTGGCGTCGCCACTGTGTACACCAGCATTCTCCACATGCTCCGAAATTGCAGCAGCGATCACCTTGCCATCCTTGGCCACAGCGTCCAGCTCCAGCTCTTTGGCGCCCTCAACGAACTTCGTGATTACGACGGGATGATCCGCAGACACAGCAACGGCCTGGTTCAGCACATCATCCAGCTCGTCAAAGTTGTACGCAACATTCATGGCAGCGCCACTCAGTACGTACGATGGGCGCACCAGCACGGGGTAGCCCACGCGCTCCGCGAACTCGCGAGCTTCAGCGTGGCTAGTCAGCTCCTTCCACGCCGGCTGAGGCACACCAGCCTTGTCCATCAACTTTGAGAACTTGTAACGGTCTTCAGCACTGTCAATCATCGTCGGATGCGTGCCCAAAATCTTCACACCAGCCTTGTGCAGAGGAAGCGCAAGGTTGTTTGGGATTTGTCCACCCACAGATACTACGACGCCTCGAACGCTCTCGCGATCGTTCACGTCCATCACACGTTCCTTCGACAGCTCTTCGAAGTACAGCTGATCGCATTCGTCATAGTCCGTGCTCACGGTCTCGGGGTTGTAGTTAAGCATCACCGCGCGGTGACCTAACTTGCGCAAGGTACGAATGCAGCTCACAGCGCACCAGTCAAACTCGACAGAGCTACCAATTCGGTAGGCGCCGCTGCCCAGCACCATCACGCCGTCGTTCGGGTCCTGTGCAGGCACGTCGTGTTCCGTACCATTGTACGTCATGTACAGGTAGTTGGTCTGAGCCGGATACTCTGCAGCAAGCGTGTCGATCTGCTTCACCGCTGGTACGATACCAAGCTCCTTTCGCTTAGCACGCACCTCATCGTCAGTGCAGCTGAACATGCGAGCAAGCTGACGGTCCGAAAAACCGAGCTTCTTCGCCTCAGCAATCTCGGAACCGCTCAGATCGTTCAGCTTCTTGCCAGTAAGATTCACATCACAGTCGCAAATGGCTTGCAGACGGCTTAGGAACCAAGTGTCAATCTTGGTGATTTCGTGCACCTGCTCAATGGACAGCTGACCAGTCTTTAATGTCTGCGCGATTTGGTAAATACGACGGTCTGTAGGCTTGCCCAAAGCCTTAACAAGCTCCTCGTGTGATAACTCGTCGTAACGTGGCTCAAAGCCTTCATTGGAAGGTTCTACCATACGCAACGCCTTCTGAATTGCTTCCTCAAAAGTGCGAGCAATTGACATCACCTCACCGACACTCTTCATTGACGAGCCAATCTCGGTGCTGACGTTTTCAAACTTGGCCAAATCCCAACGCGGCATCTTGGCAACGCAGTAGTCAAGCGAAGGCTCAAAGCAAGCAGTTGTACTCTTGGTCACCGAGTTCTTCAGGTCCGGCAGGTTAATGCCCAGAGCAAGCTTAGCAGCTACGAAAGCAAGCGGATATCCTGTTGCCTTTGACGCCAGAGCACTCGAACGCGACAAACGTGCGTTTACCTCGATAATGCAGTACTCCTCCGATTCGGGGTTGAGTGCGTACTGAATGTTGCACTCACCAACAATGCCAAGGTGTCGCACCACCTTCAAAGCAGTCTCACGCAGCATGTGATACTCGCGGTCCGACAACGTCTGCGAAGGCGCGATAACAATCGACTCACCCGTGTGAATACCCAGAGGGTCGAAGTTTTCCATGTTGCACACTGTCAAACAATTGTTAGCGACATCCCGTACGACCTCATACTCGACTTCCTTCCAGCCCTTCATCGAGCGCTCGACCAGAATCTGAGGGCTACCAGAGAAAGCCTGCTGTGCCATCTGGCGCAAGTGAGCCTCATCTTCACAAATGCCTGACCCCAGACCGCCAAGCGCAAACGCTGAACGAATCATCACCGGAAAACCAATATTGTATGCAGCCTTTACCGCATCGTCTACTGATCCCACAGCCTCACTTTGAGCAATGGACTCATTGATCTCCGCAAGCTTGTCGTTGAACAGCTCACGGTCTTCCGTGTAGTTTATTACATCAATTTGTGTACCAAGGACCTGCACGCCGTACTTTTCGAATACTCCACGCTTCTCGAGCTCCACGCCACAGTTCAATGCAGTCTGGCCACCCATCGAGATAAGGATACCGTCAGGGCGTTCGCGCTTGATAACCTGTTCCACGAAATCAGGGTTTACTGGCAGGTAGTAAACGTTGCTAGCCTGGCCCTCGCTGGAGCGGTCAATATTTGTCTGCACGGAGGCAATGTTGGGGTTGATCAGGATCGTTTCAATGTCCTCCTCCTTTAGAGCCTTAATTGCCTGCGAACCAGAGTAATCAAACTCACCGGCCTGGCCAATAGACAGACCACCTGATCCGAGCACCAGCACCTTCTTCACCTTGGGGCGCTCAATATTTGGACGCTGCACTAGACTCTGGATCGGTCCTGTCTCCTTCGTACGCACGGCATCAAGGAATGTGTCAAACAGGAACTCAGTATCCGTGGGACCACCAGCGTGCTCTGGGTGGAACTGTGCCGTGAAATACGGTCTGGACTTGTGAATGATACCTTCATTGGTGCCATCGTTGAGGTTCACAAAGAGCTCTTCCCATTCACTAGGCAGCGTCTTGCCATCCACTGCGTAACCATGATTCTGCGCAGTGATATAGCTCTGACCGGTCTTTAAGTTATACACAGGCTGGTTTTGCCCACGGTTGCCGAATGGAAGCTTATAGGTCTTGGCGCCAGCTGCAAGACTAAGCAGCTGGTTACCCAGACAGATCCCAAAAATCGGCTTAACATTGTCGCCTTGAAGAGCCAAAGCCTTCTGAAGTTGTGCAGTGGTCTCTTTCATAATAGCCGGATCACCTGGACCATTAGAAATGAAGAGACCGTCGTACCAGTTAATCTCAGACGAGATATCGTGGTTCCACGGTACGCGCTTGACTTCTGCACCGCGCTTGACAAGTTCACGGATGATATTGTACTTGATTCCACAGTCCACGGCCAAGATCTTGATTGGGTTGCCTTTGCCATACGTAATGACCTCTTTTGTTGACACAAGAGCAGCGAGATTGTTTTCATTCACATCAACGAGTTCGGGTGGAGCACTACCTTCGACAATAATGCGACCAGCCATAGCTCCATGTGCACGAATTTTTTTAGTAATGGCACGGGTATCAATGCCAGCAATACCGGGAATCCCCTCACTCTCAAGCCACTCGGAGAGTGATTGGGCAGCATTCCAATGACTGTAATGACTCGAATAATCCTGCACAATCATACCAGCAGCATGGATACGATCCGACTCGATGTTCTTATTGAGACCAAATTGATCCAGTGCTTTTGTATCAGGTACACCATAATTGCCAATCATTGGGAAAGTCATATTCAAGATCTGGCCTTTGAATGACGGGTCTGTTAGTGCTTCAGGGTAGCCAACCATACCCGTAGTAAAAACTATTTCACCAGCCATAGACTTTTTGGCACCGAATGAGACGCCATGGAAGCGTGATCCGTCTTCAAATTCAAGCACAGCAGGTGTCTCGAAACGTGGAACGTGACGACGATCTACTTTGTCACGTGCAGACACGAGAAAGCGATTACCACTTGCTTTGTACAAGGGCACACGACGTTTAATGGAATGTGACAAACGAAGCATTTTCTTTTCTCCTGAGAATGAGCAACAACTCGAGGAAAAAAAGAGGATGAAGCAAAAAAAGAGCTTCGTTCCGACCGCTTCCAGTTGCGAAATGACTTGCAAAAGGATCGCTGAGAGAGAGGGTGGACGACGACTAGCAGCTGTTTGTTTGAAAAGTAAGATCGCGTGTGTGCATAGAATCAGTAACCTGCGCCGTGCGTTTTGTGCGAAGCGTAGTTGACAGTGATTAAATCCAATACAAAAAAGACGGGCTCGTCGCATGTCAAAGGCAACCTTATGTGCCGACACAAAAAAGATTCTTGTTCTATGCAATGTTTAAGACGTATCAAGTTCAACATGGGGCAATATCTTTGTCTTGATGTTGACGATACTTGCATATACTTGGAAACACTATGTTTCTATTTTTTTGCAGTGCACTATTATGAAAGACTGTTTATTAGTAGTTCGCGTGGAAGGCGGGGCGATATCTTTGGTGTCCCGAGCTGCAAGTCAATCAAAACCATGCACAGCTTCCTAGTTGCTAGGAAACCTTTCAATTGTGTATTTAAGACCGTGGCGCATCATCATGTTGAGAGGCGGCGGCTCCAACGCCATTCATTCCGTTTCCCATAAGGAGATGGGCAGCAGGTCCAAAGTACGCGTGCCGGGACTCTGCAGCTGGCGGCCACGCACCTATCGACTTTTCTTTCAGCCAATAAGACGTACGCAAGTCTGAGCTGGGAATGTCCACTCCTTTGAAACCGCACTTAACACGCACATCACCAAACCTTTACCGGTATTTTCTAAAATCCCGCAGTAGTAACAATCTTGCCCAAGTATGTGGCGTTCCGTGGCCCATCAAATGTCCCGCACCGCAGTGCGTAGCTCACAGGCAGCAGTGATCCCCAGTACTGCTTATCATGAAATGGGCGCTTCATTAACTATCGTCACGAAGGTCTCAATCGCGACACTACAGACTCGAGCGCTCTCGTCCAAGGTCAGTGACGATTATGCACTGAATTTGGCCAAGGTATTAGCCCCAGAGGCCACATTAAATGAGTTCAAGGAGTTGTATCGCACGCCTGGTGTAAAGCACACAACTGTGATCAAGATTGGCGGTGAGGTGATCATTAATGAGCTGGAAACGCTCATCGAATCACTTCGCTTTATGAAGGACACGGGGCTTTTTCCGATCCTCGTGCATGGGGCCGGTCCGCAGATGAACGATGAGTTGAACAAACAGGGCGTTGAGCCCCAGTATGTGGGTGGGAACCGTGTTACTGACCAAAAGACGCTTGACATTGCACAGAAAATCTTTATCGATACGAACGCGACGCTTGTGGCTGCACTCAACAAGGCCGGTGTGTCTGCTAAGGGTATTACAAACGGTGTCATCCAGGCAGATTTTAAGGACAAGGAGGTCTATGGCTTTGTGGGTGAGGTGCACAAGATCCACAGTAACCCTGTCCAGGCGGCCATTGACGCTGGTCAAATTCCCGTGCTGTCATGTCTTGGCGAAAGTGCAAACGGTCAGACGCTCAATATTAATGCTGACGTGGCTGCTCGCCAACTGGCTCTCAGCTTGCAGCCACTAAAAACCATCTTTGTCAATGCCAAGGGAGGTTGGATCGAGGACGACGGCACAAAACTCAAAACGATCAATATGACTAAGGATTACGAGCGCATGGCCGCCCGTGACTATACTGGCCGTCAAGGCACACTCTTGAAGCTTAATGAGATCAATACGCTTTTGCAGGGTCTGCCGTCGACATCGTCGGTGGTGCTCACGTCGGCATCACAGCTCATGCGCGAGATTGTAAGCAAAAAAAGCGCGGGTACGACGTGTATTAAGGGTGAAAAGCCTGCTGTTGCCAGCGAAAAGAGCAGTACCAAATCGTCGGCGATTCCTCGTGGTCCTAATGGAAAGTACCGCGTTGGTCTTCTTGGTGCGCGTGGATATGTAGGCGGCGAGCTCATTCGCGTAATTGGTCGACACCCGGAGCTGGAGCTAGTGTGTGCTAGCTCGCGAGCCCTGGCTGGGAAAAAGGTTGTCAAGGTCGCTTCTGCCCCGCCACTTAACCCTCACACGAAGCTACCGGCCAAGCTAGTTGAGGATGTGGAGCTGAACATTGATCCTGAACTGGAATTCTGCGAGCTTGGGCTGGACGGTATTGCGACCTCGCCGTTTGGAGAGAGCGTCGATGTGTGGGTTGTGGCGTTACCCAATGGCTACTGCGAGGACTACGCCACTGCTCTGAATGCGCTTCCCAGGAAAGATAAGATCATCATTGACTTGAGCGCGGACCAGCGTTTCAATTCGGAGTGGACATACGGCTTGCCGGAGGCTCCGGGTGGACGCACGCGGCTGCAGGGTGCCACACATATCTCTAATCCCGGCTGTTACGCTACTGGTGCGCAGCTCGGATTGATGCCACTACTTGGAGGCAAACCTGAGGTGAGCGGAAAGCTGATCAACGAGAGCGTTCCGCCACATGTGTTCGGAGTTTCGGGCTATAGCGGTGCTGGCACAAACCCTTCCAAGGCCAACGACCTGGAAGTACTCACCGACAACATTATTGCGTACAAGTCGGTAAATCACATTCACGAGCACGAAGTTAGCCACCAGCTTGGTACACCTGTTCGATTCATGCCTCATGTCGCACCGTACTTCCAGGGTATCCATCTCACGTTGTCCGCACAGCTTGCTGACAATGGAATCGTTACTTCAGCGAAACAGGCTGAGGAGCTTTATCAGGAGTTTTTCATGAATGAAGCTTTGGTGAAGGTTACGTCGGACATCCCGCTCGTGAAGGACAATGCGTATCATCCACATGTGACTGTGGGCGGCTTCCAGCTGGACTCGGACACGGGTCGACTTGTGGTGATTGCTACCATTGACAACCTTCTCAAGGGTGCAGCTACGCAGGCAGTACAGAATATTAACGTTGCGCTTGGGATTGACGAGTACGTTGGAATCAACTTCAAGTAAAGAGCCATTTGGATTCCTCAACCGTTTTGACAATATCTCGCAAGGAAAGGTAACAACTTATATGTACCAATCCGTTAAATACAACTGAGATCAACAGCATTGACACTAGTGGACGGCCCACTCGATTACAGTTTATTTAATCGCTGCGATGGACGCTCGGTTTCTAGACTGACATGATGAAAGTACTCGAGAAACTTATGGTTGCTGTCTGTGTCAGACATCAGACATAAGCTCTCATTTGGAACTAGGTTGGCGCCTTACACCATAAACATGACAGCGATGCAACGCATTGGACGAAGCAAACTATTGTCTTATAGATAGCAAGCGACCCCTAAAGCGAGAAGCTTTTGATTCCTTCTGATCGAAGTGGCGATGGTGATAACACCGGCAATTAGTACTGTAGGATCGGATCACCAACGCGATCGATGATGGGCACCGTGCACTTGAGGTCAAACACCTTACTGAGCACTACCTTGAACACTTTCTGCACATTAATGGAGTGCGACGCTGACGTAAAAATAAGCGGTGCCTTCATGGCCTTGGCAAACTTGCGAGCCTTTCAGCACCGATCACAACATTAGCAATGTTTCATCAATAGCACCAACCTTTCTGCAACAAATGACTTCACCACGTACTTGTTTTGTAATATCTTCTTGCTCTTCCATGGCAAAGTTGGCAAAGTGGTCGTATTTCATTCCCACAAGAAACGGGAACGCATTCTACAGACCACCAAGAAAAACTTTCGGTTACTGATTGCCCTCCCACATCCACAACAATCGTATCCATATACAATACTACCTTGTTAATAGATCGTACTTGTCGATACCACTCCTTAATGCTAGTGAGTGTAGCCTTTCGGGACAGATCAAACATGAACAAAATGGCCACGGCATCATTACACACGAGCGGCAGCATACTAATAAACTCACGGTGACCTCCTAGATCCCAGATACTGAATGTAATCTCGGTGTTTCGTAAAGCGATGGTCTTTTCCATAAAGTTGACGCCCAATGTATGAATATAATCCTCATCAAACTTGCCCTCGACGTACTTGACCATGAGACTCGTCTTGCCTACCTGCGCATCCCCCACCATACCGACCTTCACGACCACATTATTGCGACTAGAACCACTTCCTCCAGTCGAATCTCCACCTGCTGATCCCACACCTCGTGATGGCCGCTCGATACGCGCCTCAGTGCAAGAAGCTTCTTCATGTTTTTTCTCCATTTTTGCAAATGACGTGCCGATACAAATCATATAAAATTGACATAAGGTAGTGACTGCTTGAATTTATGCTCGACACGACACAGGAAGCAATCTTTCCAGACATATAGACGTAGGATGTTTTAGTTTGCATGACGTGTCTCTTTAGTTATGATGTTCTTCCCATAATGTGAAATTATCAAACAAGATGAGAAGTTGCGGTACTCAGCATCGCTCTTGGGAGCAACTTTGTGCTCTGCAATGGAGTTGACCTTGCAAGACTCATGATAGATCTGTTTGTTCTTATTGCAATGTGTCTCTTTGGTCTTGTAATTGCCTTCGACCTTCTCCAATGTCTTCACTGGCTCGGATGCTGAGCCTTCTGCCTGGTCTATCTGTTCATTGCCTTTATCATCGACCTCCATGTCGGTGCTTGTGTCAATGTCCGAGCTGACATTATCCGAAGAATTCTCATTCGTGAGGACCTTTTCATCCTGTTCAGGAGCCATGTATAACGATGTCGGCTTGTACGTGTGCGACACCACCGGCAGGTCGACAAGAAGTCGTCGTCAACCGGTTTATCCTTGTCTTCAACATACTTTGGTACCGCAAATATGTCTCGGCGCATATCAAAAAAGGATCGAGAACGCATGATGCTGTCGCTCATGTGCTCGAGCTCCATCACGGACTGCTCCAGCGATGACATGGGGTACCAGAAGCGCGGTCCTACGAGATCCCACGAGCTCAACATGGTTGTGATTAAGTTACTTGGTCGTGTAATTTGATCGGTTGCACATTTTAACGTGACCTTGGGAGCGGATCACGCGCAGTACCACTGAAAAAAGTTGCAGTGCGATCGAAGGGGGCACTTTAACACGTATCTTACAAAGTTTGGATAACTGGATGAGCAGATCGTATGCATTCACATTCGAGAATTCAGCCGAAGGCGTCATTGATAGATTCGACTTTTCGACCATCTTTTTGGAAACGAATTCCGACAGACTTTGATATTCATTCAGCTACAAGGTGCTACATTCGTACCGTGTCTTTACTTCACGCAAATCTTCTTCTTCATTGTTTTGTCGTCTGGGTCTAGCTTGACCTTCTTGACAGCGTAAAGCTGTCGGTCTAGACGATTACGTACCTGCACTACCAATCCTCCGCGTCCTGTTGCCGAGTCATCATTTGGTCGAAAAATGGTGTTGGTCCTTAAGATGGTCTTGGATGATGTCAATGGCAAAGACACGAGATCGTACACGGCTGCGTCCCCCATTGGCTCCAGCGCGAGTTTCTCCATCCCACGCGTAAGTTTCTGCGTCTCCGTATCATACAAGCCGTGCTTAGCTTCCACCGTGATATTGGGCGGCTATTAATATTATATGCCCGTGTCAAATCGAAATGCAGCAGCACTTCTGGCCGTCGTAGCTAGCAATCGGATAGTGAAGATGTAGGCGTATAGCGGTGTAGAGCTCTGCATGGCCAGGTCTTGATCGCAAATGACTTGTAACACTTCCAGCTCTTGGGTCTGTAGCTCGGATAAAGTAGCGGCGTCATAAGAGCTGAAGTGTCGTGGGTTACACGACTGTAGAAAGCGACGTGTAAATCACGACACTCAGAGCACATTTTTGCACTCAGGAGCAAAATGTTGAGATGGTTAAGGAGAGGAGATGTAAACGTAGCAACATACCTCTTTTCTTCCCCTTCTTCCGACTCATACTTCAGTGAACGAGGTGGTACAACGATATTATTGGATTGTGAGAAAACTTGCCATGATTGAGGACGCTATGTACACTCGTACATATGATGAAGTGATTAGAAAGGCCATGAAGAACAAGACACACAGACTTGCAATCTGGTTACAAGTGGCTCGAGAGGATGCATCTCTAAAGACTTTAATGAAAATGCTTGAAAAATGAGAGGACGAATGGCATCTGCAGCATTGTGATGGACACCCTATCCAATGCAGTAGACACTTCTCGATCACGCACAAACTACCGTGCTTGAACCGTTGATGTATTATCGACGAAGCTGCAGGCAACAACCACTTTTACTTGATGTCACTGCTTTTTTTGCAAGTAAACAGTCAGGAGCTCACTTGAGAATTTGCTGCCTGCCAACGGCCACATTATTCTGTGTAAATTTAGTGCTTTGAGCCACATTCTGGCAAGTTGCAATGCAATGTCTGCGACGTCTTCAACATGGATCGTCGATCGTTCCTAAAAGGATGATCTTCAACCTCGTGCTAATGTCTTTTCGCTGCCATTTTTAATGAAAGGACTGGTAGATGTGTGCTATTTTACTACTGGCTGAACCCTTGCTTGCTCTGTGCTTACCGAACGCCAGTACCATTTGTGGATCAAGTTTACGACTATTAAAAGTAATGTTTAAATGGCAAGATGCAAAAATATACTCAGGTCCTTAGTTCGCAAACCTTTGCTACCTCTAATCCTGTTCAACGTTTTAGATCCTTCCTATCCTGACTCACGATCTTGACCACAATCACTTATTGCGCCATCGCAGCAACGTCATCACCACGACGTCATTCGGCTCGACAGGGTTCCGCTTTCTGCTAGAGCGTTACCTGGTCACTAAAACCTGCAGCTGATGCTACTTCTTCAGCCAAACGATAGAGATTTTCTTGCGTAGCGCATTGATAATAGCTATTAAGCGACTGCACCAGCGCCAGGCTCAGCATATTCTTGTGAGGGAGTCTCAGAATGGAACGTGTAAGTATTTCAGCATCCAGTCGTTTCGAAAAAGGTGTCGCAATTTCTGCTTCCACAAGATCAATCCAGAGAGTCTTCTCCTCAATGAGGATCACATTCGGCACACGAGGATCTCCATGAACCAAGTTAGTCGCGTGAAGCTGCCATAACATGTAAAAGAGGCTTCGTACTTCCATTCCAGTCGTTGGTCGCGGTAGAGGTTTCCCGACAGGACACAGTAATAGCGCACCGCTTTCCATAGTAGCTGTAACCTCTCCAATAGGTTTAATCGTTAAGCCTGTGCGCTCGGCCATTAATAAGGCTTGTCGCTCCCGACGAAGACGTCTTGCATCCGTTACGATTTTCAGCGCGAAAATCTTTCCATCCTGCCCAGTAACCTTGAAAACGCGTCCATATGCGCCACGGCCGAGAAATGCATCGCCTTCCATCACATTAACATGTAATGCCTCGCAGGCATTGGTCAAGTAGGCCACCCATGGCGACGTGTTCTCACAAATGAAGTTCTGAAACAATGATTTCGAGCCCTCGTCGACCCAATTCGCTTCTTGGATTCTGGAAACATAACCCTTGTAGCTACTGATTAACCAGAAGGACTGGCGGTCAAACAGAATGGCGTATGCTGACGCCTCGGGGCAAAGGTTTTGCAGGTATTTTACCACTTGGCCAAACGCAGCGTTAGATATACTAAGCTTGCTTTCGAACAGAATGAGGCAGTCGAACAATTCTCCCTCTGCAACTCCAAATCGAAATCCATCCGGGCGATGAACATAATCTTGCGGTTTTGGCTTGACACGATACATTCCAGGGTGGGTCACAAATCCATCTGGTTTAAGGTTTGTGCTCTCGGGCAAATTGGGAGACTGAGGTAACCATTGATACCTCTTACTATTCACGTATACCAAACCACAGCTTTCTAATATGCTGCTGAAGAAAGGAGTAATAAATGCGACA